TGTTATATAGCTGAGTGCTTTGCAATAAAATCACTTACTGAGGGAATAAATAATTTGCAATTGTAACCATGCTAAAGTATCTTTCTTCAGTGTTCAAAGTTTGACTGAGCATTTATTGGAGTGTTTTATTGAAGGAAAAAGGCTGACAATTATTCCTTCATGGGATGTGGCAGTTGCTAGCTGGGCCAATATTTATTGCCCTGCCCTAATTGCCGTTGAGAAAGCGGCAGTGAGCTGCTTTCTTCAACTGTTACAGTCTTTGGCATGTAGAGGCATGCACCATACTTTTAGAAAGAAGGTTCAGGATTTTGACCCGGTGATAATGAAGGGACAGTGGTATAATTCTCTGCCCATTTCTAAAGAAAGGTCCAGACCCGAAACGTCAGCCTTTTTACTCCTCTGATGCTGTTTGGTCTACTGTGTTCGTCCAGCTCGACACCTTGTTATCTCAGATTCTCCAGCATTGGCAGTTCCTACTATCTCTAGTTCTCTGTCAAGATGCATGTGACTTGAAGGGGATCTTGCAGCTCGTGGTCCTCCTGTGTACCTACTCCACTTGTCTTCTCAAATGAAAGCAGTACTGTTTTTCAGATACATATTCAGTGAGTAAATGCAAGACTGTTTTGAATTACATGACTGGTCAATATTTTTTGTCCATGGCAACTAAGTAGCTTGGGTGAGTACCAGTCGTGGAAACCAAGTTCTTAATAATGGAGTTTATTTAAGAAAAAAATCTTGACACCCATTGTGACCGAAGGACACAGAGTTCCACACCTATTACTGAGCTCACCATGTTGTGTAGGAACCTTAAACGTAAAACCTTTTCAACTGCCTGAATTGTCCTAATAACTGAAAGGAAAAGTGTTGTTGGATAGTCAAAGATACAGTGCTAACCTGGAATATTTGTGGTGTTAAACTGGCCTGGTGGCAACATGGATCCACCCACCATCTTGATGGGAGATTCCATGCATGTACCAGCAGCCATCTTATAGGCTGAGTGTGTATGCAGAATACCTTCCCGGTTGGCAATACAAGTTAACAGCGATCAGTGTACTCTTCGTTGCTAATTAAGAAAGGTGAAGGAGGATTTCTGTCCCGAAGGAACGGGAAATCCCTTCTCTGAGATCTGCAGGCCAATCAGAGATTGGCAGCTCTCCTGTGCTGGAAGGGCAGCCAGGAGCAATGGCCAGTGTCACCATTGCACTTGTGGATTGAGTGGTTAAACTGTGCTGTGTTCAGACCAGCTGGTGAGCCTGAGGTCTCCCTGATGTTCTACTGGACCAGGTGGGTGGAAGGAAAGGCCAAGGATGAATGGAAACTGACCGGTGGGTTATATTTTGTGGGGAATGCCCCCCCCCCCCCCCCCGATGTCATCAGGTGGTTCTTAAGGTGAAATCCAACTGCCTTGCCCACAAGCAGCCCATGTTGGAAAACATGTTGGGCTAGGTATTTGCCACCTGTTAAATCCCAGTGCTGAGAGGATGAAGCCCTTAAGCAGGGACTAATTGCCTATTTAATTTGCCCACTGCTGTACAGACTGTCAAGTGCCACCTCTGCTGCTAGCAAAACAACAAGCTAGATTTTATGACCACCCTCTGCCTTCCAACCTGCGAGTGAGGGAAATATAATTCTGGCCTGTGGAATCAACAGCTATGTGAAGTACTGGATGGTATTTGGTAGATACATCACCATTATGGAAACAAACGACCAATCAATCACAGTATGTACAAGTATTGTGTTAGCTGAAAGGTTTCTGAGTCCCGAGGTTTGAATGAGTCCTCTCGTAACCACTGTACAAGCAAATGTTCGTGAGAAAAGCCCCTTGCATACTGCAAGAGAAACAGAAATTGCTGGAGAAACTCAGCAGGTCTGGCAGTATCTCTGGAGAGCAACGTTGCTTTCTCTCCAGAGATGCTACCAGACCTGCTGAGTTTCTCCAGCAACTTCTGTTTTCGTTTCAGTTTCCAGCATTTGCAGTTCTTTATTTCCCTGTTCACCAGCCAAAAGGTGCAGTATTGGAGTCAATAGACTTTCTGCCTTTTCCATATTCCAATAATTCTGCCCAACAGTGCTGATGGATGTATCATTATTTGACCAAGACCATATATAATATTATGTGTTATATTAGCTTCTTCAGAGGTGGATAAGACGTTTTGTACTTTTTGTTTTTAATCTTGTTATACCAAAGACTGAGTACCCCTGAGCAATGCTAGGAACAGGAGTAGGTCATTCAGTCCATCGGGCTTGCTCCGTCATTCAATAAGATCATGGCTGATCTGTGGCCCAATTTCAAATGCCTGCCTTGGCCCATGTCCCTTAATACTTCAGCCTAATAAAAAAATTGCGTATCCCAGATTTAAATTTAGCAATTGAATTAGCATCAACCACCGTTTGGGGAAGAGAGTTCGGTTAGTGCTTTCTAATATCTCTCCTGAATGGTCTGGTTCTAATTCTTGGACTGTGCCTCCTAGTTCTAGAAAATTTATCTAGTAGTTTTCCCTGTTAAAATCCCCAAACCTTGATTAGTTCACTCCCTAACCTTCTAAATTCTACAGACAAAAGGCCAAATTTGTCTAATCTCTCCTCATAACCTAACCCCTGAAGGTCAGATCTCATCCTTGTAAACCTGCATTGAACTCCCTGCAGGGTCAAAACACCCTTGCTAAGCTGTGGTCCCCAGATCCGTCCACAGATCTGCGATCTAAGGAAGGATATGCTATCCCTGGAGGTGTTCCAGAGAAGGTTCACAAGAATGATCCCAGGAGGTGAAGGGCTTGTCATATGAGGAGCAGTTGATGACTCTAGGTCTGTACTTGATGGAGTTTAGAAGGATGAGGGGGTATCTCATTGAAACTTACAGAATATTGAGAGGCCTGGACAGAGTAGATGTGGAGAAGATGTTTCCACTAGTAGGAGAGACTAGGACGTGAGTGCACAGCCTCAGAATGAAGGGACAACCCTTTTGAACTGAGATGAGGAGGCATTTCTTCAGCCACAGGTTGGGGTTGGTAAATCTGTGGAACTCATTGCCACAGAAGGCTGTGGAGGCCAAGTCATTGAGTGTATTTAAGTCAGAGATAGATAGGTTCATGATTAGTGCGGGGATCAAAGGTTGTGTGGAGAAGGCAGGAGAATGGGGTTGAGAAAAAATGGGCTTCAGAAAGAAAGGAGGAGAACATGCTCCCATCTACATCAACGGAACTGAGGGTAAGGGGGTGAAGAGCATCAAGTTCCTCGGAGTGACGATAACCAACAATCTGTCCTGGATTTCCCACGTAGATGCGACAGTCAAGAAGGCATAACAACGCCTCTTCTTCCTCAGGCAGCTCAGGAAATTTGGCTTGTCCATAAGGTCCCTCACCAACTTCCACAGATGCACCATTGAAAGCATACTGTCCGGGTGCATAATGGCTTGGTATGGCAACTGCTCTGCCCAGGATCGTTAAGAAACTACAGAAGATGATGTGCACAGCCCAGACCATCACGGAAGCCAACCTTCCATCCATGGACTGCATTTACGTGGCTCGCTGCCATGGAAAGCCTGCCAAAATCATTAAGGACCCATCGCAGCCCGGTAATGATCTCCTACAATCTCTTCCGTCAGGCAGAAGATACAGAAGCCTGAATATATACACCAGCAGGTTCAGGAACAGCTTCTTCCTGGCCATTATTAGACTGATGAATGAAGTCTGTAGCCTCAAATAACACTGATCATGCTAACGTTGATCTCGCCTAGCACACGACCTACACATTGTAACCTGTATGTCTCTATCTAAGTCTTTTTGATCTGTACATCCTTTGCTGACTATGATCTGCCTGTACCGCCCATAAACAAAGCTTTTCACTGTATTTTGGTACATGTGACAATAAATCAATCAGTCAATCAAACATATCAGCCATGATCGAATAGCAGAGAATACACAATGGTCCAAATGGCCTTATTCTGTACCAGTATCTTATGGCCTTTAGCTGTATGGGGAAGATTAATATCATTTCAACTCATCTTTTTTTTAATGCCATGTTCTCTCAATTACCCCAGTTATTTAAACTTTAAACATTGGATGAATTCTCTGAACAGGCTTGCACAGACTAACCTAGGTCTGTCATTTCAGATATTAACTGGAAAAGAAAATTGACTTTGAATCAAAAGCAGATCTTTCTGATGCTCACCATCTGTGGTATTTCCTTTGCTTCTCAGAGTTTCTTGAGTTGCTCTATATTGTAATATAATCAATGTAGTTGTAAAGATTTCCTCTGCTGTTTCTAGCACAGGATTTTCTGTAATTTGGTTCTGTTTTTACAATACCAAATTCTTCACTGGTATATTTATAATTACTGTAAATTGTAAGAGAAGAAAATCTTAGCTCAGAACTCCACACTGCCTTGTTTTCACTGTATTCCTCCTGGCTTCTCCCTGTTGACTACCTAAGTCAGGAATCACACAACACCAAGTTATAGTCCAACAAGTTTCAGAGCTCCGAAAGCTTGTGATTTCAAATAAATCTGTTGGGCTTTAACCTGGTGTCGTATGATTTCTGACTTCTGACTTTGTCTGCCTCAGTCCAAAACCAGCACCTCCACATCTTGACTACCTAAAACACTGCTGTCCATCTGTCGCTTAGCTACTGAGTGAATGACTCTTGAGTTTATCTATGCCTAATGATCTATTACTTAAAAATATCTGCACAAAGTCCACACTCGGAGATGTTAATAAGCATTGCAGACGTTCCTTCTTTTGCTGTGTACTAGCATTTTCTGTATTCGTCAGCTTAGGTACAGGTGTGATGGGCTTAATTTATCTCCTTCACAAGTTCTAAACAAATGCAGCATTACTGTAACTACAGCAAAAAAAGTTGTAGCTCCTTTGATGACTATGGAATGTCTCAAAGTATTTTGCAGCCAATAAAGTACTTTTGATAAAAAGTAATTCTTTTAATGAAGGAAAGATGGTTGATAACTAAAAGTTTGCTTTCTGACTTATGCTTTTCTCCCCCTTCTAGGTAAAAGCAAAGGAAAAGGAAAAGGTAATATTAAAAGATTACTACTTTACAAAGTCAATTTCTCTTATAATGTGGACCCAATGATAATTAAAGTTGGCATGACTGTCAAATGATTCATCATTACTCAAACTCTGCAGTCCTTGATCCACACCATGCTTGTCCCACCCATTGTTCACAAGAATGGCCAAATCATACCTGGTAACATTAAACTATGCTGAGACATCCTCTTGTGCTGCAGTGAATACAAGAGGGAATGTAACAACAAATTGATGAATGAAACCCTAGATTTCTTTTATGAAAGGTACAAACTATAAATGCAAAGAAGGTTAAGGAGAGTTCTCATAAATTTATTTAAAGTCTTGAAAAGTTTTAGTAGAGCAAATAAGGAAGCACACTTCCTAATGACTGAAGGTTTCAGCAACCAGAAGCTACAGATTTAATTTACTTCATAAAAGGTTAGAAAAAAAGAACATGAAGATATTATTTTACATGATTTGGAATACACTGCCTGAAAAGGTGGGAGAAGCAGTCCAATGATAATTCTCATGAGATTGAGACATAAGCAGTTGAAGGGAAATATGTAATCAGCTATAGGGAAAGAGAAGGGGACAAATTGGATAGACATTCCAAAAAGCTGCCACATCCCAATGAACCAACTGGTATCTCTCTGGGTTGTATTTTACGATTCTATGCAGAAATGATATATTCATATAAAACCACAGTGTTTTCCATAGTTTTGCTAACTGTGATGCATTGTATTCCTGCGGGTAACTTCTCATGACTTGGCTCCACACTCCAGCCATTAGTTAGCTATCATCTCCTTGTGATGAATTGCCAGTTAGAAATCAAAAAAATTCATCATCCAACCTGATGCTTGACTAGGAGCTGACCAACTGTCTTTACCCCAATTTTAAATGGTTTAGTTCCTAGTAAAGAGAAATGTTCAAAGAAGCTGACAAAAAAATATATAATTTTAATATTGCTATGACTTTTCCTCAGGGTTCACACAGCTGTATCCAAGAAATTCCTTTGCGAATCCTGGAATGTTGCCACCCCTGATGGGCCATGGTATTGGGCTGCACACTAGATGCAAGCTTTCAAAAAGACATAGTGCTGATTTACTGGGCACTGCCTTTGACAAGGAAATACACATATGAAGAAGACTATGGAATAATCGAAGCATTATATTATGGGCAATACGAAGGCGGTGTTTCAAATTTTGAAAGACTGGGATAGGTTTAATGGAGGCTGATTGATCCAAATAGTTCATAGATCAATAACTAGGGGCCATATCGAAAGATATAAGGTAGTGGCCAGGAGAAACCTCTTTATGTAAGGATTCAGAGATTGGGACATTCACTTTGGTAACGTGTAAAAATTTCCATGTATGACTGTCTGCGAGTACTTTTGTGCTTCACTGTTAACATGCCAAGACATGTGTTGGAGCCCTTTATTGATGAATGTGATATTTTTATGTGTCACTGTTTTCCACTGAGGATTTTGATGCCCTCTGACCCCATTGTAATTTAGACAAAAGGATGAGATTGTTACAGCCTTTCACTGCCCTGCAATCCATTTGCGAGCAGTTTCTTCTACAAATCTATTTTTTCCACCCCCTAGGGGATTGACTCATACTCTGGCCTGGTTCCATGGATACCAGTTTGCCAGAGCAGAGCCCTTGTACAAATTGTTTGTCTTTGCGTGCAAGCTGAGGCAGTGGGAGTAAAAGCAATTGTATAATTATGCATCATTATAACCCAAACTGACTTCTGTTCTAGCCCAGCATCAATGCACGCACTTTCTGGTGAAGTTTGCTGATGAGAAGTGAGAATTCTGATGCTTTCCAAACCTGCTTCTTGAGTACAGGATCCTTAAAGCTGACCACAGGGCCTGTGCTCTAGGTGTGCCTGAGATCTGCTAAGTCAGCACGAACTATATAGATTGAATGGCGGACGAAAGCAAATGGCTATTGTTGCTGTAAATCTGAAATACAGATTGAGGATTGTCGGCAGGACAGCCAGCATTGGTGGCCAGCTTATTCCCAGGAATGGAAACCAAGCTTTGTTACAGATCTCCTCCAGCCTCCGCCCATAACTCTTTCTCCAATACGTAAATGCACCATCAGTGTTGCTTTCCTGCCTCTTCCAGAAATGGACAATTCATCAATTTCACTTCCAATTTCAATTTCGCTTCCAACCCTGCTTTCATCTTCACCTCCATCTCTGACTCCTCCCTTCCCTTCCTCAACATCTCTGATTCCATTTCTGGGGATAGACTGACCACCAATATCCACCACAAACCCAACAACTCCCACAGTTACCTTGACTATACATCCTCACACTCTGCTTCCTGTGAGGACTCCATCCCTTTCTCCCAGTTTCTCCATGCCCATCGCATATGTTCTGATGATACTACTTTCACCAGGGAAGCCTTGGAAATGTCCACCTTTTTACTCAACCACCATGTTTGACAGGGCCTTCAGCTATGTCCAGCCCATCTTCCACACTACAACCCTCACCCTTTCTCTTCCCTCCTACAATACCCGTAGGGTCGCCCTGGTCCTCGCCAACCCGCACCAACATCCATATCCAAAGGATCTTAAGCCTTCATTTCTGGCGCCTCCATTGAGATATCACCACCAGACACACATTCCCCTCCCCTCCCCTATCAGCCTTTCACAAGAACCATTCCCTCTGGGACACTTTGGTTCACTCCTCCTCTGTTGCCAACATCTCCCAATACCCCCTGCACCTTCCCATGCAATCGCCAAAGGTGTAATACCTACCCATTTGCTTCCTTCATCCTCTCTACCCAAGACTCCAGACACACCTTCCAGGTGAAGCAGTGATTTACCTGAATTTCACTCATTCTAGTTGACAGTATGCACTGCTCACAATGTGGATGAAATGCAGACTGGGCAACCAATTTGGGGGTTAAAATTGTTTCAGAGATAGTAGGAACTGCAGATGCTGGAAAATCTGAGATAACAGGGTATAGAGCTGGATGAACACAGCAGGCCAAGCAGCATCAGAGGAGCAGGAAGGCTGGCATTTTGGGCCTGGACCTATCTTCAGAAAACCACATAGTCAGCATATATGCCAACCTTTTCCTAGATCCAGGCAATTCTGAAGAAGGGTCTAGGCCCGAAACGTCAGCCTTCCTGCTCCTCTGATGCTGCTTGGCCTGCTGTGTTCATCCAGCTCTACACCTTGTTATCTATGACCAATTTGGGGAACGCCTATGTTATGTTTGTAAAAATGACCCTGAGCTTCCGGTTGCCTGCCGTGTTCCCCAGTCAACATCTCTGTCTCATGCTCGCTGCAGCACAAGCTGGAAGAGCAGCATCTCATTTTCCACTTTGGTACCCTGCAGCCTTCAAGACTTAGCATCGAATTCAATAATTTTAGGGCGTGATCACCTTCTGCCATGTTTTTACCCCAACCCGCGCACACTAGGCTTTCTCGTCAAATGGTCTGCTGTCACAGCCAACTCAACTTCATGTGCCAATTGTCCCCATTAGCAGCTTTTCCTTCTCCCTGACTCACCATTATCCCTTCCTTTGTTTGCCCAGAGATAATAGGAACTGCTGATGCTGGAGAATCTGAGATAACAATTATCTCTTATCTCTTTGTTATTTCTTTGTCTGCCCAATTTTTTTTCTGTCTCTCTTGACTCCATCTGCAGCTATTGTTAACTTCTCCCCCCACTACATAGTCAACATATATACCAACCTTTTCCTAGCTCCAGGCAATTCTGAAGAAGGATCACTGAACCCGAAACATTGACTGTGCTTTCTTCCTACATGTGCTGCCAGACCTGCTGAGTTTCTCCAGAAATTTCAGATTTTGAAACATATTTCAAGATGGTTAGAAGGTGGGGTGACTATAGGATAATTGGGTAAGTCTCATTCTGGCAATAAATAGCGCAAATCATCAATGATACCTGCTAAGACACACTGGGAAGTAGGACTGAGGCTGCAGGCTTTGAAGAATGCTCACTCCTAACCCCACTTATGTATTGAGTGTAAATAGTTAATAAGGGTGTGTTCACCAGTATGAGGAGTGACTCACTTCTCTGTACAACCTCGGTATGATTTCACAATGTGGTGACAATGGCAGTGAACTCCTCATTCAGTAAAACGCCCAGGTCATTCAATTGATGACAGGAACATTCAAAGTCAGAAGCAGATCATCCCAAAATCCCAGGGAACGCCCGACGCCAAGCAATATTGCACTCTCATTGATGCCATGGACAGATATGAGCTCCAGCATAAATCAACGAGTGAACACCGAGAAACCTCCCAGTGCAGATCACTGAGGGCACCAAGCTAAAGGACAGCTGAAAAGATACTACTTGACAATGGATCACAAATAAACTAACTCAAATGTTTGCTTGATTGTAGAACACGGAGATGCTTTGATCACAAATATAAATTACAGTACTGAAATCCATTCAATTTGTACAACTGTATTGGAATGAGACTTTTCTGATGTACTCTATTTAATTTTAGTTGTTCCTCATTTGTTTCACTTCAATCTACTCACCTTGCCTTAAGTTAACCTTATTTCTCTGTGACAGCAAACCATCAGTTCCCAAATCCCAGTCACGTTTGTTTTGTCCTTGATTAATTTGTGAAAGTTTTCATCCGTGACATGTACTATGGTTGGGGGGCGGGGGGTGGTGGTGGTGTGGAGAACATTCATTCACAGCTGTAAATTTAAAATGTTACAACTGGGAACACAGTATGTGATGCTTGTGACTTTTAAGTTCTGTGTTCTTGGGAAATCTCAAGTGGTTCAAGAACACACATCATGGAAATTCTTCAGCAGTCTCCACTGTTAAGATGGGTAATATGGGTGGGTGGGGGAGTGCAGAGACATTGATGTGAAATATTTGTTCCCTTTTGGTTATGGTTTGTTGAATGTCACCTCTTCCTGAAGCCAAAGACAAAGTGGAAGTCACCTTCAATCAACTCATCAAAATAATAAAAATCTCCAAAGGAGTCCTTACCTTAAATATAATTGTAAAACTACCATAGGACTATAAGAAACAGGAGTAGGCGGTTTGGCTGCTCACGCCTGCTCTGCCATTCAATAGGATCCATAACTAGTAGCTTCTTAGTATTCCTCTGTTGATTTGAAGCATTACTGAACTGTTTGACAACCACCATTTCGTTTTTAAGAGAGGCAAGCTGCTGTTGATGCTTTCATAATCCAACCAAGTCACCTGGAGTTTGCCTGCTAGTCACCCACTCCCTGGATTTGGTTTTTGATGTCATTCTCTGTTTGACTTACCTCACAGGCAAGAAGATGGGTCCCCCTGGTCCACAAGGTCCCCAGGGCCCTCCAGGTCCACCAGGACCCCAAGGTCCTCCAGGAATCCCAGGAATCCCTGGCATACCAGGAACAGCAGTGTTGGCAGCACCAGGGCCACCTGGTCCACCTGGCCAGCCAGGACCTCCAGGGCCCCCAGGACCACCAGGTAAGGGAACACGAGTTAGATCTGAGCAATCATTTATGTCCATCATTGTGTCCGATGGTATATAAACCTCTAAGCGGTTCAGTACTTTGTACAAAAACAGAAGTCGCTGGAAAAGCTCAGAAAATCTGGCAGCACATGTGAAGAAAATATCGGAGTTAACGTTTCGGGTCCAGTGACACTTCCTCAAAACATGTTCTAGGAAGGCTCACCGGACCCGAAGTGATAACTCTGATTATTTTTCTTCACAGATGCTGCCAGACCTGCTGAGCTTTTCCAGCAGCTTCTGGTTTTGTTTCTGATTTACAGCATCCATTGTTCTTTCGGCTTTTATTCAGTATTTTGTATATTGCTGTTTGTCTCCATTGATTTCTTTTCAAGCTAAGTAGGTACACCAGAGTGGTACTTCAGTACATTTCTGAGTGCATTAATTACTTTATGATGATTTTTTTTAGCAAAATTTCTCCAAACGTTGGGATAATCTTAGAGCTTGTTCAATCCCACACCACTTCATTGCCACCTCCCTAATAATACCGTGGGAGAAAATGCTAGATCACAGATTGTAACCATTGAAAATAGCACCGAACAAATTTAAACATGAATTTTCTTCTCAGTTGTACTTGATATAAGGTACATGTATGCACCAGATTATCCGAGAAAGGGTACATCTCTCCAAAAAAAAGCTCAGTGAAAAGATAATAATTGGACATGTGATCATATTACTTAACAATAAGCAGAGTGCACTAAATGGTTCCCCTCAACATCGCTTCCTTTCCATTTCTTAGCTGTATTCAACTCTGAATAGCTAATCATCCAGAGATCTTTGAACAAATGTGCGCTCCAACCTGTTTATTCGATTTTCAATAAATTGATATCAGGACTTATAATCTTTCAATTCCCTGACTCAAACTGGATTCTTTCCTGGCAGACTTTGATCAGCGATGTTTTATCTAAGGTGCAAAGGTTATAGTCAAGTCAAGTGCCTTTTGGCATTCGCTTACCTTGATGGAGAAGCTGTTGTTTCCTGTTGTCGCAGCACCATGAATGGCCTGGATGCAGTAAGGGACATGTTGAAGTGTTCAGATTTGTGAATAAAATGACAAAGTTTGACCAACAATTTCTGTTCATAGCATTCGTACATTGATGTGATGATCTGCTGTTGCAGAGTGTGCATTGATTTGATTCCATACACTCTTGGAATGGGGATTCCATTGTAGAGGCATGAAGTATAAAACAAAGATATATACAGGTAATGTAGGTAAAGGAGCCACCCTGGACTGCATTCACAATGTGCCTTAAAGGTGTCATGTTGTTTTAACTGGTACAGTACAGGCAAACTCTTTGATAATGGGGGCTATCATAGTCATGCATTGTCCTCACTTGACATCTAAACACTTGTGCAGTTGAACCCTGCTGCTTCTTTATTTTCCTCATCCTAATGTATTTATGATGTACGAACAATCTTCAGCTTTTTCATCAATTACTTTCGTCCATCATAATGTCAGAAGTAGAGGCATCCACTGACGATTGCATAATGTGCAGTGCTATTCATGACTCCTCAGATACTGAAGCAATCCATGTCCAAATCAGCAAGTCCTGGACAATATCCAAGTTTGGGCTGACAAGTGGCAAACAGCTTTGGCACCACTCAAGTGCCATCTCCAACAAGAGAGACTCTAACCATCACCCATTGACGTTCAATGACAGCACTATCAATTAATCCCCCCATATCCTGGGAGATACCATTGACTAGAAGCTGAACTGAACTAGACATGTAAATACCATTGTGACAAGAACAGACCAGAGGCTAGGAATCCTATAACAAGTGACTCAGCTCCTGACTCTCCAAAACCTGCCCACCATCTAGAACACACAAGTCAGGTGTGTGATGGAATACTCCCCACTTACCTTTTGCACCAATCAAGTGTTATCTCCAACAAGAGAGACTCTAACCATCGCCCGTTGATGTTCAATGACATGCTGCTTCGACACCATCCAGGACAAAGCACCTTCTTGATTTGGACCAGATCAACAAATATTTATCATTTCACCACCAATTTTCAATTGCGGCAATGTGTACTGTCTACAAGAAGTTCACTATGGTCTTTCAGACAGCACCTTCCAAACCCACAATCACCAGCACTTAGAAGGATAAAGGCAAAGGATACATGGGAACACCACCACCTGCAAATTCCACTCCAAGCCACTCACCATCCTGACTTGGAAATATATCACAGTTCGTTCACTGTCACTGGAGCAAAATCCTGGATCCCCTCCTTTATGGCATTGCAGGCAATCCGTGCTAAATTCTTCTTTTCAGCGTGCAGACTTCCAACATTCGCAAGTGGCATCAACTTCCAAAACCAGAAATCAGTACGTCAGCACATCAATTGGTATGTGCTAAAGGAGGAACCTCAGAGAGGCTGTGTGATGCACAAAAACTGCTGGCCCTGCTGGTGACACGCACACCCCCTGTGAATGAATATATATAAAACAGTATTTCCCAACCTGAGATTAGTTACTTGACAAAGTCCTTGCTATTTTTTGTGGCAAGGTATGACGCAGGATTCTCACTTAATCAAAATAAGAGTTCATGATGTACAGCAAACATATCATGAAGAGAGCATAAGTTGGCAAACAGGAAGCAGAGAGGAAAACAAAGTGGTTCAGTTTTAGGTGTACTAGGGGGGTGCCACAGTGATCTGTTCAAGGGCTTCAACTATTTATAATGTACGCAAATGACTATGAAGGGACTGAGTGTGTTGTTGCTAAATTTACTGATGACAAAATGTAAGTTGGGAAGCAAATTGTGAAAAAAAAATCATGGACCAAATCTTTTCTTTTGTCGAGGTTCAAATTCCATTGAGTTTTTTTCTGGGTGGAATTATCGAAGTGCGGCTTAGCAAGTTCTCGCACTGTATCTTAACAAACTCACTTCATTAATCACCTACCATATCTGAGGATGCCTCTCACATCCAATTTCCACTCCATGTTAACAAGTGCTATTCCCACAACAACTCGCCACTTGATGGACATCCCAGAATTCACCATCCCACTGGCTGTGCCATCTTTAAAACTCCATCATGACCCTGAACCAGCACTATCAGTCCAGAGCACAGTTCTCTGCACGGTTCCTGACATTTACCCCAGAAATGGCAGGCTGGGGGATGTTGTCTTGTTGCAGGCAAGCTCCTGCTGGGTGATTGGTGCAGAGGCCTGGACTTCCTCTTCCCCAGGACCAGGAGATACTAGACCATGCCAGCCTGGTTTGAGGTTGTGACCCACATTAAAATAGTCTCAGCTATCTAGAGGAATGCCTAGTACTGCAGAAAGAAAGTCAATGACCTTCTCCACTTTTCCAGGGTATGTGCCATTACCTCTGTCCATAACATTCACTTTTTCTGAGTCAAAATCCTGGAATTCCCTTCCTAGGGGCATTGTGAGTCAAATAAAAACAGGTGGACTGCAGCAGTTCAAAAAGACAGCTCACCACCACCTTCTCAAGGGGAGCTAGGGACGGGCAATAATTTCTGGCCCAGCCAGCAATGCCCACATCCCACAAATGAATTAAAGAACTCACTCTCAATCTATCTCTGCTCCTTGAGCTTGGTACATATCCTTCCCTGAGTGTACAGTCTCCTTGTTGCAGCATTACATTGATAGCTACTGGGTACAGCTTGCAATACTGCGTTGAAATCCAGAAGTGACCTGCAAACAAACCAAAGATGAGCTGTGAGAAATCTTAAAAGCTGGGACGTAACAAGCTTCTGTACAGCTCATGCCTGTGGAGTGTGCCTTGAGATATTGGTGCCTGGTTTCCAATACTGAGATTGTTTGTAGAAAGTGGCAAGTTGAACCAGCCAGGCGTTCGCTCTGGTTTCTTTGTTGTGTTTTCCCAATGTTTAGTTTGGTGAGGTTGGTAAGATGGAAGTGTGCATAGGATGAGTTGGGCTGTTAACAAGGCATTTAACAAGCAATAGTGACTGTCAGTTGGACATCTCATCACTGCCTTGCAAGAATATCACCACACTGCTTGTGAAAAGCATAAAAGATGGAGTGAGTTGATCTTGATGTTGAGATGGGCCTCAATATCACTGGATTCCTCCCTGCATTTCATCACAGCCCATATCACTCACACCCTTCTGAGGCGCTACAATGGGATTTATGTCAGTTAAGTGAGTGGGAAAAGAATTGTAAGATGAAGTATAATGTGAGAAAATTGAAATCATTCACTTTGGCAGGAGGAATAAGAAAATAGAATATGATTTAAATTGACAAATATTGAATAACTCTATTGTATAGAGGGATCTGGATGTTTTGCAACATGAATCACAAAATTAGTAGAGCATGCAGGTTGCAACAAGTGAATGGGAAAGCAAATGTAACGCTCGTGTTTATTGCAAGGACAATGAATTGTAGAAGTAGAAAAATTTTACAACAGTTGTGTAGTGCATCAGTGAGACTACATCTACTGTGTACAGTTTTGATCTCTTTACTTAGTAAGGATGTATTAACATGAGAAAAGGTTCACTCGACTGACTTCTCAGATGAAGGGGTTACCTTACAATGTTAGGTTTAACAGTTTGGGCCTGTATCCATGAAAGTTTAGAAGAATGAGAGGCGATCTTATTGGAACATATATCCTTAGGGGACTGGACATGGTGGTTGCTGAGAGGATGTTTCCTCTTGTGGGAAAAGTATAGAATTGAGGAATACAGTTAAAAAATATGAGGTGTCTACTTTAAAATGGAGATGAGGAGAATTTCTTTTTCTCTGTGGGTGTGGTTGTTCGTTGGAACTGTTCTCGATGGAGTAGCTGAGGCAGGGTCATTGAATATTTTGAAGGCTACATTCAATGGATTCTTGACTTACAACAGAATTAAAATGGAATTGATGTCACCATCAGATCATGAGCTTATCAAATGGTAGAGTGGGGAAAGCGATGGCCTAGTGGTATTATCACTGGACTGTTAATCCAGAGATGCAGGTAGTGTTCTGGGGGACCCAGATTTGAACCCCGTCACATTGGAATTTGAATTCAATACAAAATCTGGAATTAAGAGTCTAATGATAACTGTGAATCCATTGCTGATTGTCAGGAAAAACCCATGAGGTTCACTGATGTCCTTCAGGGAAGGAAACTACCATCCTTGGTCTGGCCTACATGTGACTCTAGACTCACAGCAATGTGATTGACCCTTAACTGCCCTCTGGGCAATTAGGGATGGGCAATAAATGCTGACCTAGCCAGTGACACTCTCATCCCATGTATGAATAAAAGAATTCCAAGGGGCTGAATGGCCTACTTTCAGCCTTAATTTATATGTTTATGTAATGTAACGGGGCTGGTTCAGTCCACATAATCAATGGAGATTCTAGCTGAGAGTGTGATTGGAAGTATATACTGTTTAATCTCACCAAGATCATAGATCTTGGAATGGCAGAATGAAATTAGATTCAGTGCATTTCAAAGCTGACAGGGGTCTTGGTATTTAAGGTCATTTCTGTGGACTAAGGTTAGATTTCAGAATGTTTCCAATGGAAAAAACTTTCTTTAAAGAGCTTCATTGTGTTTGTATGAGAGGGAGCTACTTTGGAAGCCCAGTCACTAGTTTCGACCTGACTTATACAGAACAACCTATGAAAGAAGGGAAAGTTAAATATGATGTGATTTTTGTGAAGAACACAGTGTTACAATTATTAGAATTTTTTTTATAAACTTAAAATCTTTTCACTTTGCTCTTAGAATTGTAGAACAGTAGAAGACAGAAGGAGAAGGCTATTTGGCCCAATCTGCTGTACACTCTGTGTAATTCTACCTGGTCCCAATAGCTCCATAAAAAGTAGTAGATGGAATTGAGAAGGTTAGGGGACAATCTGATCAAAGTCTTGAATTTTTTTCTCCCCTTCATTCATTCATGGAATGAGGGAATCACTGGCTAGGCAGCATTTATTGCCAATCCCTATTTGCCCAGGGAGCAGTTCAGTGTCTGTCTCATCACTGTGAGTCTGGAGTCACATGTAGGCCAGGCCATTTCCTCCCCTAAAGAACCAGATGGGTTTTTCCCCAACAATCAATTCATGGTCATCATTAGATTCTTAATTCTAGATGTTTATTGAATTCAACTTCTACAGCAAGATTTGACCCTGGGTCCCCAGAACATTATCTGGGTCTCTGGATTAACAGTACAGCGATAATACCACTAGGCCATCACCTCCCCAGTATGTTGGCAGGAAAAAACAGGGCAGATAAAGACAATCTATTTCCACCTGTTGGAGATTCAAGAACTACAGGGCATAATCTGAGAATTAGGGCCAAATTGTACAGCAGAGGTGTTAGGAATCACTTCGACATACAAAGTGCGGTAGATGTTTGGAACATCCTTGCACAAAACAGCAGTGGATGCTGGATCAGTTGTTAATTTTAAATCAGAGATAGATAATTTTTCATTAAGCAAAGGTGTTAAGGGAGATGGGCCAAAAGCAGGTATATGGAGTTGGGCCACAGATCAGTCATGATCCCATTGAGTGGCATAGCAGGCTTGAGGGGCTGAATGGCCGATTCCTGTTCTTATGCTTCTATGTTAAGGATTAAATTTCAGAATACATGAACATATATCTATAAATTTGAGGAACTTCTTGTATTCTTTTCAATCCTTTTAAAGATTATGATTGAATCTACTTCCACTGCCTTTTTCATATAACAACTCCCTATCTAAACGAAGAAAGAGCTCCTGATTTAGCCTATGATTTATTTGCCTGTAATTGTAAATCTGTGACTTCTTTATTAGTGACCCTGTATCACAGGAAGCAGGTTTTTTTTGTTTTTTGTATGGTAACCATTCAGAATTTTGAGCACCTCTAACCTTCTGCTTAACATGCTGTGCTCTAAAGTGAACACCCTCACTTTCTCCAGTCAATTCTGGAGACAATCCGGCAAATTTCCTCTGCTCCCTGTCTAAGGCCTTGGCATATTTGCTGAAGTTTCCGTAATTAAAAAGACTACCCTTACTGAGAGCTAATTGGAGTGCACATTGTCACATATTGGTGCCAAGAAGTTAAACTTGGCTTATTTTCTGCTGGATTCTGTTGTCAAACTAAAAGACTTCTCACATGCTCTGAGATGTCTGATAAAATAACCTCTGACAGTTGATCAGAAACATGCTGTAAACATTAGACTTGGCATTCAAAGTAATGTCAACTGCAAACCAGACATAACACTTCATTAAAGTTGCAATAACTGGCAGCAGTCATAGTAGTTTAATGAGTATCTTTGCCATTTAAAGTTGGCAAGGTGATTTCAATTCGAATTTGCAGCATTTTCATTCATGCCTGTTAATTCATTGTGAAATTGCCATCTAACCACAAAGGAAGTTTCCAAGGCTGTATAACAATGAGTTAAGATTGTTCCCCCAAACAAGAACAAAAGACCTGGAAGCAGGAGTGGGCCATTAAGTCTCTTGACCCTACATAGCCATTCATTAAGGTCATGACAAATCTGATAACGACCATAACTTCATTCTCCTGACTACCCACATAACCTTTGACTCTGTTGTCAATCAAAAATAGATCTAAGTGAGCCATGATCTTCTGCACTAGGGTAATCTCTCACAACTGTACTAATGGTATCCTTAATTAATAGAGCTACACCACTGGCTTTTCCTCACTTCCCATCTTGCCAAAATGACAAATACCCTGAAACATCTAAGTCCCCGCATTTGCTACCATATCCCTGAAATGGCTGTGAGGGCATACATATTTATTTCCATTTCTGAAGAAGGGTCCAGACTTGAAACGTCAGCTTTCCTGCTCCTCTGATGCTGATTGGCCTGCTGTGTTCATCCAGCTCTACACCTTATTATCCCATATTTATTTCCATGTGTGCTGTCAATTCATCGGCCCAGCTGCAAACATTCAGGTATTGAACCTGAGAATTTAAGAGTTTGCGGGAAACTTCGATTGTTCAGCTTTGCAACAAAACAACAAAGAAGCATTATTCTGGACTAATGTAGCAGAATAAACATTATCAAAGTGATGAATTTAAAACATCATTTAAAATAAAATTCACATCCTCTTAAGATATGATTATTGTCTAAAGTGGTGAATCACTAATTTTGGGCTAGTATCATCCTTTAAAGTGATCAAGCATAACATTAATTTCTGTGTAGAATAGTGGAGGCAATAACATTAATTATTTATGAATCAAATTAGTACTGTGAGGGTGTCTGAGGTCCTTGTGAATGGATAAACTAATTCCTTCAATCATACTTAATTTCTAAAATGAATTTTTAAAATTTGTTAACTGAATATATGTTTTTCTTTTGCATTGTCATTCAAGATGATATTCTTTTCCTCTGAGAGAAATTTTCGGCTGAATAAAATGGCAATAATGTTAATTTGCCACTAGTGAACAGGATTGGATGGAGGGTTGTGGCAGGAAGTGCAGCCTGAACCTGCAGAAATTTGGGTGACGGCGCCCCCCCCGCCCCCCCCCCCACCCCCACGCCCCAATCATCCACCCACACTTTGGTACATGTTGGCACAGGAAGTTTGGAGGTGTCACCCAGTAGAACAGGAGGTGGGATGGTGAGTTGGAGTCTTGAAGGGACTAGACTATCAAAATCAGTGCCAGGGGAGTGCTTTTGCTCCTCCTGGCCTCTCAAAGGTAAATTCAGAGAGGAGAAAAAGAAAACCCTCTCTTTGAATAGTCTTTTCTGTTTCTGGTCCTTTCTCTACTTGACAAGAGTTCACAGTGACTTCTTTTCTCAGACTGGGGCAAGGATTGCATTTGATCCCCAATGGGATCCTCTATCATACTGACATATTTGAAGAAAGTGTCAGTGAAAATTGGGATTGGCTGGCTATCAACAGTAAGTCATGGAGGGAATTTGAACTGCTTTAGTCTTCCGTTTCCACTGGAGGAAAGTCAATCTCGGCAACAACGTGAATACTTCAACAATATTAAGAACAAGCAGACTAATTCTGCAGAGAACAATTCAAAGATATATTGCCAGTTGCAATTTTTATTTTCATTGCTGACTAACTTTATTTTTCAGGTACTTCAGACAAAGCTGCAGAGAGTCCGCCACCAGTAAGTATGCAATGTTAACATGTAATTGTCGTGTATGTTTAATTGGCTTTTATTTTAGAAGGAGAGCATTGAGAAATTCAACCATTTATAAAGGTTTCTGACTTTAATCTCCTTTGATTTTGGTACAAGATAATTTAGAACAGCAGACCTCTACGAATTTAGCAGTGCTAGGCAATGACCACATCTAGACTCAGTCTCAAATTCAGTTCCGGGCTTTTCACTGAGAAAGCTTTCATTCAAATACATTTAAGGTACTTCAACCTGCTGTTGCTACTCCTTTTTACTTACCAGGGCTACATCTCTTTGGCAATTTGAAAATGGGTCTCAGATTGTCTGAAGTGATTGAACCCTGCAATATATTGTGTGAGAGACCCATCAAAATCAGTCAGAACTTTATGTTAATTCAAACTTTAATATTTTGACAAGGTAAATTGACTGCGATTCCAGATGCTATGAGGAAGTACAGATTGGCAGCAAGAGAAGTGGAATAGTGGCTCAGTGGTTAGCACAGCTGCCTCATGGTGCTGGGGACCAGGGTTCAATTCCAGAGATAGTAGGACCTGCAGATCCTGCTCCTCTGATGCTGCTTGGCCTCCTGTGTTCATCTAGTTCTACACCTTATTATCCCAGGGTTCGGTGTCTGCCTGTGTGGAGTTTGCATTATCCCCCCCACCGTGTCTGTTACTACTGGGTGCTCTGGTTTCCTCCTGTTCCCCAAAGATGGGCAGGTTAGGTGGATTGGTCAAGGGTAATTATGGGGATAGGCTGGGTCTGGATGGGATGCTCTTTGGAGGCAAACTGGCCTCTTTGCACACTGTCAGGATTCTATTATAAAATGTAAAAGAAATGAATGTCTCTTTGTAGTGATGATTAGATAGATCGTAAAATGATGAGAGGATAAGAGCACTGCAGAAGGATTAGGCCATTTGGCCCATTGAACCTGCTCCATTATTAATGTAGACCATGATTAATCATCTGTCCCCTGCCATTTGTTTCCCCCACTATCTATATATCCCTTAATGTCATTATTAGCCAGAAAATTTCCAGCTTGAACATGTTCAATATTTGAGCTTCCAAAGCCCACCAAAGATTGACATTCAAAGTCCAAAGAATAAAATCCAAGTCATTTCCAGAGGACTGATAATTGTGGAATGTTCCACTTTTTCCAAGGTTTGGAATGAGGAAATAGGAATATAACACACAAGAGGTTTACAATCGAGAGGGGGAGTAACTTCTTCCCACAGAGACATGAGGCTGTGAATGCATTTCTGGAGCTGAGGCAGGACCTATGTCAGCATTCAGTCTTAAATTGGATAAGAGATGGGATTGGGGTTGGGAGGTGGTGAAGGAATTGCAAAGATGGAGACGAGGTAAGTACATCTTTTAAACTCGTGGAAGGCAAATGCTGGTATCAAACTGAGGCGGGGGAAATGACTGTCCTGTTGCAGGGTTTTAATTTCAATGCATTTCAGGGCAGGGTAGTTCTTTCCACTTACCTGAGTTGGGAAGAGGTGTAGGCTTTCTCTAATGCTTGCACCCAGGCTGTGGCTTGGAGCCTGTGTGTGAGCATCAGCAGCCCCTGTTATTTTTTATAATGGGTCAGCACTTGCACAGAAGGGATGAAGCATGGCCTAGGAGTGGGTTACATTGTAACAGACCACACCGATGCTGAGAGAATCAATGGCCACTCAGTGTCGAGCTCCAGCTCCAGGACAGTCAGACCTTAAGTGCTAGATCTTTGCCCCACAGTGGAGTATTCATCACCTGCTTTTTTTTTTGCTGAACACATTAAGGCCATTGTTGCAAACCCAAGCTTCAGAAGGCACAGTTGTGGTCATTAGCACCATATACACTTCACTCTACTGGTCCCTGCCTTGCACCCACATCCAACATTTTTAACAACATCGCAGCCTTAGCCAGTGTAGAAGGTAAAAAAATTGCTGTAATCGACAGCAGTCTCTCTCTCTCTCCCTCTCTCTCTGTCTCTCAAGTTTAACTGTGAAAAATATTGTCTTCACAAACATTAAAATGATTGCAGACAATGGGTACTGACAAGCAAAAATTTTTTAAAGTCTGATTTTAGATGCTGCAAGTAATGATCATGATGGAGTGGAACATCATAGCTTGCCGAGGGAGATCTTGTTGATGTTCTATGCCTGGTCCACATTATCAAAGGGCATACTAGCATATCTTAACATTATACCTTTAATGTTCAATAATCTATCCAAGACAGCCACCCAGGATCTATTGGAAAAAACACAGCAGATGAAACTGTGGTGAGTTGTGCAGACTAGAAAAGTGCCTGTGTGCTGAATGGGACCATCTCATTATGGGAATAGTCATCAAGACTAAGGTGTCCCCAGGACCTATTCAAGCTGATAAAGAAAGCTGTGAGCGGGGTTGTTGGGCAATGGATGAAGATCTATTGGGAGTAAATGTTTCCCGTTCATCCCGAAGAGTTCAACTGTAGGACGTTGTTTTGTCATTTTCTTCTGGTCAAGTTCCTGCCTATTAGTTGGCCAAATTGTCAGCTGGGAAACCATCTGAGAAGTAGGTGTTGAGAAACTGGGAAGGAGATCAAAAATCGTGGGAGTAGCTGCAGAGATAAGCTTGTAAGCCAGAGTAATCACTCCTGCTCCTCATGGCCCACAAGTAGTGTTGTAAAGACACTTTTGCCATGTATCAGACGTTTCTTACCTCCATTTTCCTGCTGGGATTCCTGTGTAAACACAGCCAACAGCGTTACAAAACAAAATTGTTAAAATAGAAGCATGCAATCTCCTGAAAAAAATTTCAGTGAGCAATATGTTGAGAAACTCCTTTGACAAAGGGCGGTTAGGATTTGGAATGCATGCTGGGCATTCAGTAGAGATTTTTGTTGGATAAATAGTTGAAGGTGAATCATTTGCAGGGATGTAAGGAAAGAATTGGGAGTGAGATTAACTGGATTGTTGTCACAAGAGTTGGAGTAGATCCAGTGGGTGAATGTAAAACAAGGAAAGGATTGAGGTCAGTGGTATCGGACTGTTTGTTGAATAACTTGTTGACTGCCACAATTTAAACACAAGTTTAAGCACTGTTCAGTGAGGAAATAGAAGCCAACTGTTGTTCTTGGAACTGAACATCAGTATTTCTGAATTGTACTTTCCAGATTCTGGCTACCTGAACAATAGCACTGAATAGTTCAGGGCACAGATCAGTGTGGAAAATCCCTCAGGAGCAGTGATTGGGGAGAGGATTTGGAACTACAAGGAGCTCTTAAGTTAGTAAAATAACTCAACACATGCATAGACGTAGAGACACATGATTGAAAACTCAGAGGAGCATGTTATACAGTCATGCAGTCATACAGCACAGAAACAGACCCTTTGGACTAACCAGTCCATGCTGACCATAATACCCAAACTAAAGTAGTCCCACCTGCCTGTGTTTGGCCCATATCCCTGCAAACATTTCTTATTCATGTACTTATCCAAATGTCTTTTAAATGGTGTAGCTGTACCCTGATCCAACACTTCATCTGGAAGTTCATTCCACACACGAACCACGCTGTGTAAAAAAAATTGCCCCTCATGTCCTTTTTAAATCTTTCTCCTCCCACCTTATAAAAATGCCCTCTTGTTTTGAAATCCCCCACCATAGGGAAAAGACAGTTGCCATTCACCATATCTATAGCCTTCATGATTTTAAAAAACCTCAAAAGGTCACCCTTCAACCTCCTATGCTCCAGTGAAAAATGTCTCAGACTATCCAGCCTCTCCTTGTAATTCAAACCTTCCATTCCGGCAACACCTTGGTAAATCTTTTCTGAATCCTCTCCAGCTTGATAGTATCCTTCCTATCACAGGGTGACCAGAACTGAACACAGTACTCCAGAAGTTCTTAGCAACTTTTGAAGCAGAAGTCTGCCTCAGTGTGCAGTAGATGAAAGAGCTGGAGAGTGATGGTGGATCTGTAGTTGGGGGTATAGGTAGTCTTATCAGGCATGCTTGGCTGAATCTTACCAGAATCAGCAAAGTGTTGTTTTTGCTGATTTCATGGAGGATTTCTGTCCGTGAGCCTTAGTGAGTTTTCTTGTGCTATCTTCCCAAACTCGCCTTATTAACTATACACTGTACCCTGATGGCAAGTCAGACATCATCTTGCCCCATTCGCTGCAGGCTGGCATATCACATGATTCCAGGTGCCAGCACCATCTTTAAAGCCCAGGTGTGCACCCAGTCAAGCATGGGCAGTCCGCAGCTGCCCTGGATGGTTCATGTCATTTGCCCTGGACAAGTCTGATAGATGGTAATTGTCATCCCGTTTTGCTGATGGGGACCTGGAGATCCTGCTCGTGAAGATGGGTTATGTGTGCTCACTACCCATGGAGTGTGCCCTGAGATGTTGATTGGTGGAGGTCAGTGGAGTTGATGGAGCCGCCAGTTAACGTTGTGGCTTTCATGTTGGTAATTGTCACCGACTGGTTTCTGTGCAGCTGCTGGGAGAACAGGAAACCATTTATCATCAAGGCAAGATGATGTAATGATCTGATGCTAATTCTTGCTAACACATGCAAATAGGCCACTTGCTGTTCACTAATGAGAACCTCATCTCACCATTCTACATTTGATTGGAAAATGGGACTTTATACTCTCAATGGTGGGAAAGCATCTTACTTCCATGATCTCACATGATTGTTCGGAATTTCTCACCAATGCCTGCATTGTTCAGAGATTGGGAAGATTTGCACGTACTGTTTCTGAACAGAGAAGTGGGGAGAATTATCCTGGGTGTCCAATAATCACTGCTATCCCATGACCTCCTTGCCAGTGGTATTATCAGATTTATCACCAGATGTTAGATGTGGATATGGTTTTGGTGAGATCATACATCAGCAAGAGTCAGTGCCATCAGTAGGAAGTGGGATTCAAGAATCAAAGTGAATTCTATAAATGCATTGATTTTATGACCTTCATTCAGATGGCAGCTCAGCTTTTAAAGAATTGCACTTAGTGAACCAGAGTGCATCATGAAACATAGTGATGGTTTTGCGTGGCCCAGGATCCATTGGCAAAAATAAAGGAGCTAAAACTATTTGGGCCCTCAGGCTTGTGCAATTCAAGGAGATATGGCTGATTGTATTTTAACTCCATCTACTTTCCTTGATTTCCTAATCTTTAATGAACCTGCTTGTTGATTTTGACAGATATTGAAAATCTAACATGCAGCGTATGGAGCTGGAGTTAGGAGAACATTCCCACTGCAGTTAATTTACTACAGCATTGTGTGCATTGTACATTATCAGATGCAGGTTTCTGACCAGTGTTCTAAACAGGCCATACAGAAATCATGTTATAACTTTGAGACAAGGAAAACATTGTGAAAATCTGAAACATGAGATACAAGTACAAAGTACTGGAAATATGCAGTGGTTTATTAGCACCTAAAAGAAAAGATTATCTTGTCATTAGTATTCTGTTGCCAGAAAATATTGAATGAACTGATGGTGTGGTGGTTCTTTGAGTTAACGCATTGGAATTGAACATAACCCAGTTTTTAGCCCTGAGAAATACAGGTGAATGTTCCTGTTTGCAGTACTAATTAGTCCATTGTGCATTTTCATTTTTATCAACTTTATCTTAAATTATTTGATGTTTGATGTGAGGCTGTCATTACAACTCTTAGTGCCAATGTTCTTGGTTCATTCCCTGGTTTGCTATTCCATGTGTAACATTTGCATTGTTGCTTGCAGATGGCAGTAGTGCACCTCCAGGGGCATGACTCAGTCATTCAAGTCAAACAAGGTAAGATTTAAATTCAAGAAATTATCAATAATATTCATATTTTAACAGCATTATAAAAGCTGCCAGTTCAGTGTTAATCATCTCTTTTTGCATTATATGATTTAAAACAATATAACCCTAGCGACTTATCATAGAATGGCTACAGCACAGGAGGTAATTCCACCTGTTAAGTCCCTGTTGCTTTCTGCAGGATCAATCCTGCTAGTCCTAAACATCACCGTTTCCCCATAGCCCTATGCATTCCAGATAACTACCTAACTTCATGAAAATGTTTCTCCTCACTTCACCTGTATTTGAATTTGCTATTCACCTGTTAATTCTGTGTCCTCTAGTTCTCAATCCTTCTCAAAATGGAAATAGTTAGTCCTGATGTGCTGTCTAAAGCCTTGATGATCATAGAGAAGGTTTATAAATCTCCTCTACTCCATTCTCCACTTTTCTATGCTAAGGTGAACATCATCAGCTTCTTCCATCTGTCCAAATAGTGCCTCATCCCTGGACCCATTCCAGTGTATATTTGCACTCTTTCTAAGGCCATCCTATTCTTCCTTCAGTGTGATATCCAAAACTCCACAATACTCCACTTACAGCCAAACTAGTGTTTGATAAAGGTTTACCCATACTTCCTTGCTTTTTTAACAATCTTCTCCAAAACCACTTTCTGGGCAAAATTTTGTCATCCCTTAATGTCCACTAACAACCCCATTACTTAGCAAATTCTATTTCTGAAGGCTACGAGAAGATTTTTATTTCTATTAGAGTTGCTATATGCATGCAAGCGTTTGTTTGAATTTGCTGTTCGGGTTATTATATTATGGCTGCATGTAAATCAATTGAACTTCTATCATCAGGACAGTACCCCTTCAAATCATGTACAATTTAATATAAAATGTAAATGATGTATTTCATAAATAGAGATGTAAATGACATATATTTTCTATTGCTTTGGTGTGAAAGGTAAGTCTTTTTTTAAAAACGTCTATGAAAAATCTGAATTTGTTACTCAACTGAATTAAGCTTCTAAAAAGTCCCTTGGCCAGCAATTAATCATATTGGGAACATGGAACCTTCTTCGGCTGCTGGAAGAACCAGGCTACTCTCTGGAGGTAGAGGCTCCAAATGGCAGCAGACAAGACAGTCCTGCTTCTCCAAAGTAGCCTACTCAGAGACACAAAGTTGTCTCGGAATCCTGCATCATTCCATTAAGACAGCAGAGGGTGGCTTGCCCCACTCCTCCTGTAGGTGATGGTCTCCGCCTCCATTGCTCTCGCTGACACAAGAGGTTTGAAAGACGTTGAGTGCTCAATGGAGACTGCCAACCCAGGCTAGGAATCTCAAAAGGTGAGCCGAAGGATTGCTGGTGCCCAATAGCAGAGACCTGCCTCCGGGTCAAAAACTCCAGCCTACCCTGGACTATGCCATATTTCCTTGCATTTAGCAAAAATATCACCGGGAAATATCCTAATTTTTTATTTCTTCACATATGCACAATGAAAAAGCAATTAATTAAAGAAATTAAGAATAAAAATGATTCATTGTTTCCATTCAGTGTTAAATCCACCATTAGACAATTTTTCTCGCATATGCCTCTATGAGGCATATGAGGCATTCTCAGATATGCCTCCAGTATCCACAGGGATATGGGTACCATAGCTTAAAGGCATTTCCTTTCAGAAGTTCATGTGGAAAAGCTGTTTGGACAGTCCCAACACAGGTCAAGATGGGGAGATTGCCCTCACTTAGTTACCTATTCATACCATTTTCTGCTATACTTGATCTCTGCTCTAAGTGCTGCCCTTTAGTAAAATCATTCTCCTACTCAGACATTTCATCAGCTTCATATGTATATTCCCAAGACCATGCAAAAACCTGTCCACTGCCTGTGTAACACTGTCTTTCTCGTCATTCTGCTTCGCTGGAAGCCAACTTGAATGAGCTGCATTTTTCTCTAGTTAAACACTTGGAAGATTCAGATACCACTTTTGAGAACTACGGTAAACTCCATTCTCCTGCTGTTAATCCACCCCATTCCCCAACTACTATCTCAGGCTTGAAGTAGATAGACTTTTATAATCTCCATGTGCTATTAAACACCAAGAATGTGGCTTCAACCTAATGAATGCCCTGACAAGAATGCCATGTACTTTTCTTACATAGTAAATCATTTTTAACTTACAACTCTTGCGTCACCTATTTGAAACCTTTTCTCAGCTCATCTGCTGCTGGGACATTCATTGTCACAACCAGCCTTGATTATTTCAATGTTGTTCTGGATGGCCATCTATCTTCCACCCTCCATCGATGTCAGCACATCTACACTGGCACACTGTTGCCAGTATTGTGCCCCATACAAGGTCTGTTCAAGGACAATGTTGACCGGCATAGACTCTTGATTCTCTCAAGGCCTTCAATCTAACATTTGTATTGCCATGTTGAAATCAATACATGCTTTGAACCCTCACTATTTCTGGTATCTCCTTTAGCCAGCAACTTCTCCTGAGATCTTTTTGCTTCAGTTCTGTTCTTTTTCCCCCTGAATCCCTCTATCACTCTACCTCTTATGACCTTCTTTCAAACCCCCTTCCTCAAATAAATCTTCAGTCACCTCACTATAGATCACCATCTTTGATTCGTTGTCTATTATTTTGATTGGGCTTTGTGAAGTGTGTTTGCAACATTTTTGAACATTAAAAGTGCTGTATATTATGCAACTTGAGATTGACAAGGATAGTTTTGGGAATGAGAAACTTCAGTTATGATGTAGGTGAAAGAAGTTAGGACTGCTCTCCCTGGAGAGAATAAAAGTCGAGGAGAAGATTTGATAGAAGTTTTCAAAATCATGAGCAGGCTGGACAGACTTTTTCCGCACAGCGAGTATTTGAGATATGGGATGTCCTGCCTGAGAGTGTGCTGGAGGCAGGTTCAATCAAGCATTCGAGAGGGCATTGCATGGTTACTTGGATAGAAATGATGTGCAGGGATATTGGGGAAAAGACAGGAGATTGGTTCTAGGTAATAGAATTGGGCAGGACTGAGTAGCCTCCTTCCGCACCGTAACAATTCTGTAATTTATCCTAAAGAACTCATTGTCTGAATATTGAACTTGGAAAAATTTTAATTTAAAGGTTTTCTTCTAGATCTCCATTTAAAGTTTTTGAGAAGATTTGTAGCTGGGTTGTGGATGAGGTTTTAGACTTGGTCACCAAGCCAGTGGGTTTGGTTGCAGACATGTCGTCACCCTGCTCTGTCTTGCTGATGTCCCCTGTCCCAACGCCACAGTTAGAGAACCAGATCAAACAAACCTTGAAGAAATTACACAACTAGGGGATATCAGCAAGACAGACTACCAAAAAATAATGCCAGAGGGATCCAACACACCCCACTTCTATGGACTCCCCAAGGTACACAAGCCAGGGGACCCCTCAGACCTATTGTCTCACTTTCAGGCACACCAACATAGAGACTAGCCAAAGAACTACAACAGAAACTGAAATACTTAGTAGACAGCAGTACCCAATCTATCCACTCCTCCCAAAAATTCCTCAACATCATCAAGGACACTAGGATAGATGAGGACGAGATAACAATATCCTTCAACGTAACAGCACTATTTACATCCATAAACATTGGCCTAGCCAAAGAGACAATTGCCACACTGCTGGACGAATCAGGAAGGCAGGCACACCATGACACCAACAGCATCAACAAAGACAGCACCCTGAAACTGCTGGATCTGTGCCTCACAACCCACTTCACCTTCAACGACCGTATATTCAAACCAATCAACGGAACACCAATGGGATCCCCAATATCGGGACTGATTGCAGAAGCAGTAATGTAAAGGTTAGACCAGACAGCACTCCGCACTATACAACCCCAACTCTGGGTCAGCTATGTAGATGACACCTTCATGATTATCAAATGAACAAGACGAGAACAAACCTACCAACGCATAAGCAACATCCTCACCGGAATAAAACTCACAAAAGAGGAAGAGAACAATAACCGACCACCCTTCCTAGACATAATGAGACATAAGAACAACAGGGAACTCCAGACTAACGTATACAGAAAGACCACACACAAGGACCAGATACTTAATTACACCAGCAACACCCATAAACAGAGCTGCATCAGGACGTAATTCAAACACACTGAAGCAATGCGGAATTGCACAAAACAGAACAGGAGCACTTATACAGAGTTTTAAAAAGGAATGGATACCCAAAAAGCACAAACCACCGTTATCTCCACGACAAACCACAACAAGAAGACACAACATGACCAGATACACGTCACCCTACCGTACGTCAGAGATGACCACAAGGCTACTCAGACCCCTAGGTATCAGGGTAGCCCACAAACGAACAAACACCCCGCGACAGCTACTGATGAACATAAATGATCCCATGCCCACAACCAATAAAACTGATGTAATATTCGAAATACCATGCAAGGACAGTGAGAAACATTACATAGGCCAAACTGGAAGAAAGTTGACAATAAAGATACACGAACACAAACTAGACACCAAGAGACACGACCAATTCTCATTGGTTTCAGTACACAAAGACAAAGAAGGACACAAATTCAACCGGGACAACACATCCATAATAGCATGAGCCAAACAAAGACATGCCAGGGAATTCCTGGAGGCCTGGCATTCCAACCGGAACTCCATCAACAAGCACATTGAACTGGATCCGATATACAAAACCACTGAAAAACAGAACCAGAAGTAATGCCAACCACCCCAGCAAACTGAGACATATAAATAACAAGCGGGACAGAACACCAACGCATCACCGGAGGCACGCTGATGATGTTACCTAGCAGGGTGACGAAATGTCTGCAATCAAACCCACCGGCTCGGCGAGCAAGTCCACAACCTCAGATCTCCATTCTCCTGAACAATTAAAAAAGAATCCATACTGATATGTCCAGTTGATGCTTATGTTCCAGTTGCATTAAATCTGTCCCTTTTCGTTTCTGATTTACAACATTTGCAGTTCTTTCAGTTTTTATGACACACCAAATGATGTCATTCGGTACTGCAGCCATTCCATGGTTGAACGTGCCTCTGCCACACTCCAGTCCCTTCAGCTATTTCTTGATATAAGGTGGAATTTATTAAATTCACTGAAGATTGACAAGTGTGATGCTGGGTACCTGCAGAGGAGGCTGAGATAGATTATCCATTTGGCACCTTTGGCTAAAAATAGATGCAAATATTTCATCCTTACCTTTTGCACTAATGTGTTGGCATCCCCCATCATGGAAGATGGGAATATGTTTGGAACATCCTCCTTCTGTTAGTTGTGTAATGATTCACCACCATTCATAAAAGGATGTGGCAGGACTTCGGAGCTTAGATCTGATCGATTGTGTATGGGATCACTTAGCCCTGCCTGTTGCAAGTTGCTTCCATTGTTTGACACACAAGTAGTCCTGTGTTGTAACTTCTCCAGGTCGACACCTCATTTTTAGGTATACCTGGTGCTGCTCCTGGTATGCCCTCCCTCATGTCTCATCCTGACTTAATGGTAATTGAAGAATGGGAGACATGGCTGGCCATGAAATTACAGGTTGTGATTAAGTGCAATTTTGCTGCTGTTGATGGCCCACAGTGCCTCATGAATGCTGGCTTTGAGTTATTAGGTCTATTTAAAGTCTGTTACATTTATCATGATGGTAATGCCACACAACATGATGGGCAATATCATCAAAGTGAAGATGGAATTTCACCATAAGAAGAATGTGCAGTGGTCATTCCTATAAATATCATCATGACGGATGCATCTGCAGCAAGTAAATTTGTGAGGATGTGGTCAACTAAGTATTTCCCTCTTTTTGGTTCCCCTGTCACTTGGCACAGATCCCATCTTGTAGATATGCCCTATAGTGATGGACTTTGAAGTTGTGCTCTTACGACGTTCAGTGCTTCTTCCAATTGGTGTTCAACATGGAGGAGTACTGACAAATTAGCCAGGGGAGGCAGTAAGTGGAAACCAGCAGGATGTTTTCTTTTCATGTTTGACCTGATGTCATTCAACTAGATGCGATCCAGAGTCAATGTTGAGAACTCCCAAGGCAATGCCTTCCTTCCTGTATACTGCTATGCTGCCCTGTCTGGTAGGTCTGACTTTACAATGGGATAGGACATACCCAGAAATAGTGATGGCAGGGTCTGGAACATTGTGTGTAAGTTAAGATTTAGTAAATGTGACTATGCCAAGTTGTTGCTTGATTAGTCTAAGGAACAGCTCACCCAATTTTGGCATAAGCCCACAGATACAAGTGAGGAGGACCTTGCAGGGTTGACAAGACTTTGTTTGCTGTTGTCATTTCTGGTGCCTAGGTCCTGTCCAGTGGCCTGTGCATTTTCCACAGATGCTGCTACCTTACTGAGTGTTTCTACTGTTTGCCCGATCTTAAACTCTATGGTCGATTGGCAAAAAAAAACTGACTGTAATCCCCCATTACAACGTGTCTTCTGAATGAAGTGATAACATTAACAATAAACAATACTCCCGGTTTTCTGGCTTTGCACTCTACTCTAACCTAAATGTTGAGTGAACTGATTGATCAGAGCCATCAAACCCAAGTTTTAAAAGATTTTTAGATGTGACTGTAAGTTGCAAATGGGCAATACCCAAATGACTGTTGAGAAATAAACTTTGAACAAACCATTATTTTAGTACGGTGGTTATTCTATTCGTATTCACGCAGATTGTTCCGGAAAAGCAATGGAGGGAATTACCTTTCCAAAGCCATTTAAAAGTCAAGAAATTAAAAGCTTGAGCCAGCTGATCAAATCAAAGTGACATGTTTTTTAAAGTGTTTGCCAGATAACTGCTAAATCATTCTGGCATATTTCAATTTCCAAAAGTAATCCTAAAGTAATCATACAGACCACAAAACGTTGATTGATGTGATAGAAAAAGGTTTATTTTTACTGTACGCGGTTAATTTTCTTGTTTTAATCTGCTGAATGACCAAAAAAAATTAAATAACTATTGCTTCTGACAGTATGTCGAAAACTGGGCTTAACAATATGTTGAGGGAAGTCCTTTAATCTTTAATCATATTTGCACAGGATTTAAAAGGCAGTTAAAGTTTAGTTTAGAGCCAAAGCAGCAAAGTGATAAGGTGTAGTAAGAACTGCCCTTGCTGGAGGCAGAGATAACACAGTGTGGAGCTGGAGGAACACAGCAGCCCAGGCAGCATCGTAGGAGCAGGAAAGCTGACGTTTCAGGTCGGGACCCTTCTTCAGAAAAATGATAAGGTGTAAATGATTTACTAAGGGAGTCAAAGAGTTATTTTTATACATCTGTTTTAACCGTGCAGATTTGCTGATTGAAAATTAACCAAAATCAATGGATTTCAACATAGTACTTTCATTTCAGGAAACTTCTTGAATCCAGGTTGGACTCAAAAGGATACCAGTTTCTTCGCAGGAATTGTATTTTGTTTGAATAAGTGCAAACCAGTTCTTAAATAGCTCGGGCAACAAGAATAAAACCGTCATTGTGCACTAATTCACAACCTCACACTCAAAATAATCTACAGAAAGAGCATTAATGTTGAAAGTGGTATTATTTAGGAGAATTAGATATTCTGTTCTTATTTAATGTTGGACATAGACATGTGCATTTCAAGTAAGGGGCAATTGCATTTTATTTTAGAATGAAGATGTGGTGAAATTTCCAGGAATTGATCTGCTGTTCATCATTGAAACAATGTGTGTGTGTGTGTGTGTATGTGTGTGTGTGTGTGTGTGTGTGTAAAACAATAGCAGTGTTAGCTGTTTGTGTTTTTTTGCTGTAGAACTTCTCTGAATATTTTACCATATATTGAGTGACTGCCCTTCTCACGCTGAGATCTCATAGGTGGTGTTCTGGCTGACTGGGTCCGATCTTCACTGAGCCACAAGGTCTTCCGGTTGCACAGCCGAAGTGGACAGCTGGAGGTACTCGTGGATGGCACCTACTTCATCTATAGTCAGGTAGAAGTGAGTACGGTCTTGTCCCTAATGACTAGCTGCTGGGACGTGGTGGGGTGGTTGTTGCTTGGTATCTGTTATCAAGCTGTCAAAATCAGTAGTTTCCAATAAATGATGAGCCACAGTCAATTCAAAACAAAGAAATTGGATCCTGTGGTTCTGCACAAACGCACCAATTTTGAAACAATCGTCGCTGTCGCCTCTCACAGCATTTTCTACTCTGATACCTTCAATCAGCCCATGCTTGCAAATCTCAGAATTTAATGTCTAACATTACACCATTAGACTTGATGAACAATCCCAAGTGTGCTACAAATTCTGGTAACGACCCATTTAAGATTATTAGTTGGGATTACATTGTAGCTCACTTTGCTAGCGAGAAGTTACATATATCTATAAACAGGGAAATGCTGTCTCCAGGAAAATTGTACATGTCTAAGTTTAAACCTGGGCAGTTGTAGCAAATCAAGGGGTAGAGTCAAGGCAAGAAAATAAAATAGTAAATTGGGAAATAAGGATCATAGAATGACAGGAAGGAGCAGGGAGAATAAAGCTAATTAAAGAAGTCACTAGGGTGAGTAATCTATAGGCTCCCTAACAGTAGCTACGATATAGGTTGAACTATACAACTCAATATTATGTGCTATGTGAAAGGGTCAGCAACAATATGGGTGATTTTAATGTTCATATCAACTAGAAACTTGGATTGGTAGAGTAACCTGGATGAGGAAGGAAGAATTCTGAGGAAGAGTCACCTGATCCGAAACTTTTCGTGTGATCTGCCTTCCCAAATTGACAGACTGAGCTTTTTCAGCAACTTCTGTTTGTGTTTGTGCAAGATATATTAGTCTGGTTATTATGGAAGATGACAGAACTAATTAGTGATGGCAGAGCAGAGGAACTGACCACAATTATGATTGAAAAATACATTACAAATATGATTGAAATTTCTGTTCAGTTTGAACGGGAGAACGTTGGGTCTAAGACTAGGTTTTAAATTTAAATAAGTGAGCTGTGTTGGCATGTAAGCTGAGCTAGCAGAAGTGACCTGGGATACTGAGCAAAGGGGTAGATCAATAAGGAAGCATGGCAGAGTTTTAAGTTGATAACTCAGAATGCTCATAATAAATATATTCCGACTATTAAAAAAATTCTAAGCAGAGGACCCACATGATGGTTAACAAGAAGTCAACAAAAGCATCAAACTTAATCAATAAAAGAGACAACTGTACAAGAGAAGATCAGATGATTAGACAGCATATAAAGAACAGCAGAGAATTACTAGAAGTTTGCGCAGAAGAACGAAATTAAAGTGCAAGAGGATGCAAGCTGGAAATGTAAAATGGATAACAAGAGTTTATACAGATATTTAAAAGGAAAAGAGTAAGTAAAGTGAGTGTTGCTCCTCTAGAGATTGAGAATGGGGAGTTAATAGTGAATAATAAGGAAATGACCAAGAAATGAGCAAATACTTAGCTTCTATTTTCATTTTGTATTCTTATGGGCATAATTTCCAATGTCCCAGTATTTTGCTTTCTAATCTTCACCTTTTCTGGGAAGAATTGAGTTTTTAGTAATTACCTTTCAATAAAAACATATATTAGCTTTTGTTTCCATTTTTTTTGTCCATTGTTTTTATGGTCTTACAAAAGCAAATACTGCAGATGCTGGAAATCTAAAATAAAAACAGAAAATGCTGGAAGTACTTAGCAGGTTCAGCACTTTCTATGGAGAGGGATAGTGCTAATGTATCAGGTTGATAACGACCCTTCATCAGAACCGAAAAAATATTTGAAATGTTCCACCTGTTTCTCTCTGCAGGTGCTGCCAGTCCATGCAGATAGCCTCCCCATACAGATTTTGCAACTTTTATTAATAAGGGAGGCCTTCTCCATCAGTCCTTTCTTATATCACTTGTAATTGTAATAACGTTCAGTTTCCAAGCCTTTATTTTCCCAACAACAACTCACATTCGTATACCCTTTATTAACATAGTAAAATGTCCAACTGGACAGGAATGTTGTCAAATAAGGTATGACACAAAGCTTCATAAGCAGGTAGTAGAGCAGATAACTAAAAGCTGAGTTAGAAAGGTAGGGTTAAGTAATTTCTTAAGGTTAAGGTTAGGTTTAGAGAGAGGTAGAGAGTTTTAGGAAGTGAATTCCAGAGCTAGGAGCTGAAGGCACAACTGTCAGTTGTGCAGTGATCACAACTGGAGATTCTTCCCTGCTGTTATCAGACTTTTGAATGCACCTCTCGAATTTCAAATCTAATATTGATCTTGCTTTTGTGCACCTTCTTTACAGCCGCAACTTTGGATTCCTCGCTCTGTTCGATCACCCTATGATCATTATATGTTATGATCTGCCTGTACTGCACACAAAACAAAACTTTTCACTGTACTTAGGTACATGTGACAATAATAAATCAAATCAAAGATGCAATAACATCTGGAGCTGGAGGAGTGCTGATATCTGCGGGATTTTTTGGGGTGTTGCAGAGATAGAGAAAGGCAAGCCCATGGATTGATTTGAAAATGAGGATAAAAAAATTTAAAGTGAAGCATTGCTTCAATGGAAGTCAGTGTAGGTCAATGATGGTTGACCTGCACTGACAACAGTTTCTGTTTTTCAAAGTGCCTGGTTTGAGTAATTGGATTGATACCACAGGTAATCAACAGGGAGCAGCAGAACACTGGGTCTCCATACAATAGTTTACAGCATAAGAATTTTTAAATTTATCATGAATTGCAATCTCTGAAGATTGTTTTTTGAAAACAGGTTGTCAGCCAACAGCTTGAGAATCTATTTCAATAGTCAGTTTCCTCTTTGTTCATACTATTTTTAAACCAAGCTATGCAGCTATGTGATGACACACATTTGAAGTAGGTTGGACTTGAGCCTGGATTTTACAGCTCTGAGTTAGAGACGCTTCTGTTGTGCCACAAGAGCCCTTTTCCTCCCTGTTCACTCTCCTGTCACCTTATTGACTTCAGCAGTAAAACCATCTCCCAGAATGTGCAAGCTAATTACTTGTCTATTTCACTTTGCTTTTTAAAAAAAAAGTCTGCTGTTTTCCCCATTTGTCTGTGTTTTCTGTATTATAGCAAAGTTCAGAAAGGTTCTTCTGGCACAGTGATAGTATCCCTACCTCTGAGCTTGAAGATTTGGTTTCAAGTCACACTTGTTCCTGCAATGTATCATAACATGTCCAACCAAACTGATTGAAAATTAGGGAATAAATGTTTGCCAAGCTCAGTGGCCTCTGGAGTGTTTTAGAATTAATGTCTGATAACTGCCTAATATTTTACATTTAAACGTTGAGGGTATTTTTTTAATTCTACAACTTGCAAATAAGCATAAATTAAGAAGTAAAAGTAAATTTTGAATGCTTCCCTGATTACACTTTCCCATTATTGATTTTCTTCCCACCCTGAGGATGTTAACTCTTGACAGCCAAGTGTAGTATCTCCCAGGGATCATAATTCACATGTGAATAAGTTAGTTGACTGCAGGATCAATTCACGTGTCCGCTGTCAGTGTTGATACTATGATAATGATCAGATGCAGGCTAACCACTTTCCCAATCCTGAGGCTGCTGAGGCCAATTCTTGTGCTCTGGCTGAGATCAGGAGTTTTACTGATTTGTGATGATCAGGTGCTCACTGGATACACAAAGTGAATCAGTTAAGTTTCTCGCTTTTTCAACACTTTCTGTACCTTCCTTTATTTGCCATGCAGTTTGAGTAGCCAATCATGTAAAGTGGAGAAAAATGTACATTAAACAATTTATAAAACAAATCCTGCATTGATGTGATGCTTTTCCTGAAACCAGGATATTCCCCAAGCACTTTGCCAGTGGATTGTCTGTGTCATAGACTCACAGAGATGTACAGAGTAGAAACAGACCCTTCAGTCCAACTCGTCCACGCCGACCAAATGTCCTCAATAAATCTAGCCCCATTTGTCAACATTTGGCCCATATCCCTCTAAACCCTTTCTATTCATATACCCATCTAGATGCCTTTTAAACGTTGTAATTGTACCAGCCTCCACCACTTCCTCTGGCAGCTCACTCCAAACGCTCAGTACCCACTGCTTGAAAAAGTTGCCCCTTAGGTCCCTTTTAAATCTTTCCACTCTCATCTTAAACCTATGCCCTACAGTTTTGGACTCCCCCATTCCAAGGAAAAGACCTTATCTATTTACCCTATCCATGTCCCTCATGATTTTATACCTCTATAAGGTCACCCCTCAGCCTCCAACACTCCAGGGAAAATAGCCCCAGCCTATTCAGCCTCTCCCTGTGTCTCAAACCCTCCAACCCTGGCAACATCCTTGTACATCCTTTCTGAACCCTTTCAAGTTTCACAACATCCTTCCTATAGCAGGGAGACCAGAATTGCACACAGTATTACAAAAGTGGCCGAACCAATGTCCTGTACAGCTGCAACATGACCTCCCAACTCCTATGCTCAATGCACTGACCAATAAAGGCAAGCATACAAAACACCTTTTTCACTGTCCTGTCTATCTGGGACTCTGCTTTCAAGGAACGATGAACCTGCACTCCAAGGTCTCTTTGTTCAGCAACACTCCCCAGAACGTTACCATGAACTGTATAAGTCCTGCCTTGATTTGCCTTACCAAAATGCAGCACCTTACATTTATCTAAATTAAACTCCATCTGCTATTCCTTGGCCCATTGGCCCATCTGATCAAGATCCCATTGTACTCTGAGGTAACATTCCTCGTTGTTCACTACACCTCCAATTTTGGTGTCATCTGCAAACTTGCTAACCATACCTCCTATATTCACATCCAAATCATTTATATAAATGATGAAAAGCAATGGACTCAGCACCGATCCTTGTGGCACACCACTGGTCACAGGCCTCCAGTCTGAAAAGCAACCCTCCACCACCACCCTCTGTCTACTTCCTTCAAGCCAGTTCTGTATCATAATGGCTAGTTCTCCCTATATTCCATGTAATCTAACCTTGCCAACCA